CAGGCTCTTATCTGTAGCAGTGTGCATGTTCTGGTCTAATCCAATTTGTAAGGTAGAATTGAGGTCATGATAGTGGCAGAGGGTGGTGGGGAGGAAGCATTAAAGAACTAGAGGAGAGTTGTGTGTTTCATTGGTGTTATACTGCACCCTGACTGGGTTATCTCTTCCTTGTGACCCTTCTGTGAGAGGATGTCCAATTGTCTACAGAGGGGCTTTGGGTCTCCACTCCTCATCCCCCCCTCAATTCATACTGGTATGATTTTGTTCCCCCAGTATACTCTTGCTTCTGCATCTAATCAGTTCTTTTTATAACTCAATTCAAAAGTTATTAGGTTCAGGACCCACCTTATTCCAGTATGGCCTCAGTTCAGTTATGGGATTGATTACAGTACAGTAAAATGGATCATGGAAGGTAATCTGCTCTAACCAAAGCCAATTGATTTGATCTTGTGATGAAATCAGATTACATAATCACGATTTCAAGACACATTGCTGGAGGAAACAATTCAACACAACACCTAGAGCACATGAAAAAAGCTAGCATAAGTCAAAATCAAAGTATTAGCCAAGCTTAAAAAAAATTGATCCATAAAAGACAGGCTTTCGTAAAGGATGGCCTAAAAAAAAGTCAACAAACACTTTCCATAAAACGTAAGTATAAAGTGAATGAAACTGTCAACAAGCAGCCATTTTAGGGCTCTTGAGGTTGATCAAAGGCATAAAACAAGTAAACAGTGTTTTTTCTTCGATTTGGGGCTCAAACTTAATTCAATCCCCAATCGAAGAACAATTGGTTTCTGTGACATGACCCCATGAAGAGCACACTGTTGATATGGGTGTTGGAGCCACGTATGGTGATGAAACCAGCTGATGCCTGGCTAGCAGAAGGAACAGAACCTGGGGGCTCCTAAAGGTTTGTCTTGAAACAGGCAGCCATCTAAGTGAGGCATCAACTAAATCCACACGGAAGACGCACACCAACCTTCGTGATTAAAGGGTTGTGAATAATGAAACCCAAACACAAAGGAAGAAATGGTATCAAACCTTAAAGTTTGAACGCCTGGTTTGCAGAAGGCTGTGGATGGCAGTTGAGTGAAACAGAAATATAAAAAGGTGAAGAGACATATTATAAATCACAGATATATGAATGGATTTTTGGCTCTCAATTTTAGCACACACAAAGAGACCACTGAAAAAAATGGGTGTTGGAGCATAGTGTGTTGAAGAAACAGGATGATGCCTGGCTATCAGAAAGAATAGAATCTGGGGGTTCCTAAAGGCTTGTCTTGATACAGGCAGCCATCTAAATGAGGCATCAACTAAATCCACATGGAAGATGCACACCAACCTTCGTGATTAAAAGGTTGTAAATAATGAAATCCAAACACAAAGGAAGAAATGGTATCAGAGCTTAAAGTATGAACACCTGGTTTGCAGAAGGCTGTGGATAACAGTGGAAGCCCAAAATCCATTTTCAGGGTCCCCACACGGATTAAGCCTCTGTGCATCATTTCTGACCATAGTCCAAGGATGTGAATAGCCTTGCTATCAAACAAAGGGTATTGTAAAGATGATTATGGCACACGTAGTTAGGCTAAAATGTAATACCTCATTACGTGCTCATCCCTTTGTCACATTTTAAAGTTGTTTACTGATTGGCTCATACTGTACATGCTTCTGTCTGCATCGCTACGTATCAGAGCTACGTATCTGATGCATTTTTGCTTTTGTACAGTGTACTGTAATTGTTTGCGATTTTTAAGAAATTTTATCTAAGCCCTATGATGGCTCCTAAACGA